AGGAAGGGGGGCCCCCGAAACAAGGAGTCCTTTCACTGTGTGCCCGTGCCGGGAGCGTGCGGGGGAAACCTGAGCCTTGTTGGCAGGAGCCCCCTGTGCTGCCCCGCTGCTTTCTCGTGGTGAGTCCTTGTCCCGTCCCCCTGCAGCAGCAGCCGCCAGCCCGGGCAGCGGTGCCATCGCTGGAAGCTCGTCCCCTTCCACAAGACCTGGCCTTTGCTGCTGATCCGCTCCTCGCCCCAGAGCCCAGCTGAGCCGTTTTCTGACAGCCTGCCTTGCCTTGAGGATGCCATGCAAAGCCTCGAGAGTCCAACAGCAGAGCCGAGGAGGGGAGGAAGGGGAACACAGACCTCCCCAGGACACGGTGGGTGAGCTACTTAAGGGCTTTGGGAAGAGGGGGGCCCTCTGAGTCTTGATGTCCTGCAGAATCCATGGCCTTAGCTCAGCTCCTGGCGCTGCAGGGAAAGGATTGGGCAAGTCCTAACAGCTCAGAGGCTTCACCAGGGGCTTGGTAGTGCTGTGAGAGACAAAGACCCTGTTAATCCTCTCTCCCCCTCTGCTTCTTAAAGACTCAGCCAGCACATCTCTCCCAACTCTCTGCACCATCAGGAGGCTGTTGCTGCTGCTGGGGGTCACGGTGCTGCTGGCGGGGACGGCGGCTGGGACATGGCTCCTAGGTCAGTGTCTGCAGAGCCCACAAGCTGGACAGCGAGGTCGGGGCGCCAGCAGCAGAACTGGTGGAGGTGGAGGCTCCTTGGTGGCTGAGCTGTGGCGTGGGATGGAGGACGTGGCTGGTGTGGGCTCTGCTGCTGCTGTGGTCCCAGCGGGAGGCTGCTGCTGTGCCTATCCAGGGGCTGATGGCCTCTTCCAGCGGGCAGCGCAGCACCATCCCCAGTACTGCACGTCCTGGGCACTGCCTGGGCTGTGCGAGTCCACCTCCACCCCCTTCTCTGTTTCCCGCAGTGAAGCACCTGAAGGAGCCTCGGCCAGACCAGGGCTTCCCCCCGCAGCAGGAGCCAGATGCGACCGCAGTGTGCGGCGAGGATGAAGAGGGGGAGCCCGTGGTCCGTGGGGCCCCCAGTAGAGGTTTACGTCTTTGCTTGCTGCTGCAGAGGATGGGGAGGGGGGAGCGGTGTGCAGGACAGGGCCTGCTGAGCCCAGCGAGAGCAGAAAAGATGCTCTTTAATAATAAATATAACCTGCTCATCCACCAGCTTCTTTCAGGGGCATCTTGTGATTGTTCCACTTTGCTTTTAAGCCCTGCTGCGTTTCCCAGCATTATGGCTTTGTTGTGAGGAGTGATCCTACAGCAAAGGCAACTCTTGCAGGACTCCTCTGCATTCAATCTGCAGAGCTGCCAGGCAGGCCCTTGAGAACATACAAATAGGTTGATGTATAGCTTCAAATGGCGTTCTGGTTTTTTGGGTTGGGTTTTTTTTTTAGTTGGTTTTTCTTTTTGCTTTAGATGTGCATGAAATGTCCAGATTGCCTTTAATGGAATGGCTTTAGTGTCTTTCAGAATTAACACGGCAAACTCCCTGCTGGAAGCGCGGGTGGACGCCCGTCCCGGGTGGTTCCTGGTGTGCCACGAGCGCTGGACTCTGTCCCTGGGCACCCAGCTCTGCCGGCAGCTCGGGTCCCTCAGGTGGGCATGGCAGCAACAGCCGCCTCGAACCCTCATCGGTCTTCTCTGAGGGGCGTGATTTTGGCAGTGCCAGATCGTGCAGCTCC